TTCATCTGTGTTACAACTTTAATGTTAAAAATTTGATATTTTGGTCTGTTTCAGTGGTGTATTCCTTTCTGTGGTAGTTCTCCTAAATCTAAGCTGTAACTGTATATAAAATACCAGTGTTCTTGGAGATAAGGTGCTAGATATTAGATGTATGTGTTCATAGATAGTGTCATCCTCAACAATGGATAGTTCGTACATGTAAAGTTAATAAAATGCATGCACAATTTTATGTGTGACCCACACCTTGGTCAGTTTCTGAAGTAGAACATAGTACATTCATTTTTAAAATTTCATTTTTAAAGTGTATACTACAGGCTGTATGAGATGGCTCCAAGGTGGGGTAGCAGGTAACAGGTGCCTTTCATTCCTTAAATCCCTGGTAGTCTCTGACGGGGGAGAACTTATTCTGGTACAGTTGATCATTAGTGTGAATTAATCATCTTGGCTGAAGTCCTCCCTGGCGGTTCTCCACAACATGCTTGGCACTGGTATGCCTGTTGTCCATTAGCGTGAATGTACAGAATGCAAAATCAAAAAAGACAATCCTTTCCCCCTTCAAAGAGCACAGACCCCAGGAGAGGCTATTGGAGTCCTGTTGGCAGGATAAAAAAAAAAAAAAAAATACTGTACTCTCAAGACCCAACCAGTACTTGACTGTGAACTGACAGGATGCACATTTAGCAGATCTATATTGTGCCCATCCCCCCATGGCTAGAGCAGCACCCAAACCCAGAAAAAGGCTGCTCTGGGTTGTTCCTTTGATCGGTTGCCTGAGAGATGAGCTAGAGCACGGATGGGTAAATAACGTAGTGGGACTCCTCCGGGGTTCGCAGCTAAGGTGTTTGAGAATATTACAGTCATGTATCAACAACATTTGCATCAGACGAAAAAGAGAGAACTATGAGTTTATTATATTTTAAAACAAACATATGAAAACAGAAGACTATGTATATACATATACCCTCATTGAGTAATTTCTAAAACTGCCTTTAAAATCAAACTTTATGTGCTTTGAGACTGAAAACCATAGAAAGATGCATTCAGTCAAAAGCAGATCTCTTTAATATGTTCAATTTTGAATTTAAAATTTTCCTTTTCCTTTAAAAAAAACATTTGTAATTTAAAAGTGCCTTTTCAAAGGATTGCCACATTACGATCCTGGGGCCAAGCTCCCCTTGGCACAACTTACCTTCAGGTGCACAAAAGGGGTGGGCTTTACCCTCCTGCCCCAGCAAGAAGAGAAACCCCTTCACACCCCAGTCAAATTCATAAATCAATACTGTTACACGGGCCAGTAGTCTCAGAGACTCTGCCCAAGGACAAGGTTTCATATATTGGTTGGTTTTAATTGGATCCTTTCTAAAATGGTTACAATGCATTTTTTTGCAGGACAGGAATAATGGACTCCTGCTTGGGGAAGGCAGAGAGATTGATGTTTGTGGCTTAACTAAATATTCTTAAGTAATGTTTGTGTTTCTTAAATAGGTGCTGTTAATCTGTCCTTGGTATTCTTCTTAAATATGCTAAATAAAGTCTAATTTTAATGTGCGTATCTGGTTATTATGCCGGGCTCAGTGGGAAAACAGCGAGGAAGACACACAACTAGGTCTCCATGCGTTCTGTCTTGCTGGAAGGGAGGAGACAGGATAAACTAACTGTATGACATGGTAGGATGGAACATAGGGGCTCCAAGATTTCATACTGTGCTGCCCCAATACAAGAAATAATGAACGGGATGGGGGAGCCATCCTGATGGCCTTGCTGGAAGAGGGGCATGTGCCTCAGTCCTCTATGAATGAAAAGGATTTCAAAGTGACAGTGGGGTGGGCAGAGTAGGAAAAGGGCCAGGTGGTTTGTGGGGTTCCCAAGGCCATGAGGTCTGACCAGGGGGAGGGGAAGGAGTAGCCTTCCATTTTAGGAAACAATACTGCCCAGCAACCAGGTCACCTCCACTGGGCTCCTGCCCCTACCACCCCACTACCCATGACCAGGACACCTCCCTTGGCACAACCCAGTCCCAGCCACCTCAGCTCAGCCCCAGTTCACCAGGGTTTCCAGAACAGGAGGGCGGGCGCACGTTCCCCCGAGCCCCAGGGTGAGAAAATTATACCTTGAACACCAGCCATGACATATGCACACACAGGACACAGACGAGACAGTCAAATATGTCTACAACGTAAGAGCCCCCTAGTTCCTCCGGAGCTGACGTGCTTGACCTGCTAGTGGCTCTTCTGTCATCTCATCAGCAGTTCAAGGAATTGCACAGCTCGTGCTTCCCGAGTGGCATTCATGGCCCATGCTCAGAGGCTCAGGGAGCTATTCATCTCCGTTTCAATCAAAGTAAAGTGCTCTTCTCCATTTTTCACTCCAAAATCAAGCTAAACACTGATGTACACATTGTATTTCAAGATGTTCAAAGATGGCTGCCATGAGACCTGCACACGGCTGCAAAAATAAATTTGCCCTATTTCTTTCTAATACTTATTATTGAAGTATAGGTGACCTACAATGCTATATGAGTTTCAGGTGGACAACACAGTGATTGAACAATTCTGTAGGTTACTCGCTGCTCCCCGCAATGGGTATGGTCACCATCAGTCACCATACAACATTATTACAACATGATAGGCTGTATTCTCTATGCTGTACCTTCCATCTCCATCACTTATTTATTTTATACCTGGCAGTTTGTACTTCTTAATCCCGTTCACCTATTTTGCCCATCCCCCCTACCCCCCTCCCCACTGACAACCACCAATTTGTTCTCTGTACCTATGAGTCCGTTTCCATTTGTTCATTTTTTTTTTTAGATTCTACATATGAGTGAAATCATATGATACCAGTCTTTCTCTGCCTATTTCACTCAGCATAATACCCTCAAGGTCCAGCCATGTGTCACAAATGGCAAGAGCTCATTCTTTTTTTTTTTTTTTAAATTTTTATTTTTTTGACAAAGAGAGAGACACAGCGAGAGCAGGAACACAAGCAGGGGGAGTGGGAGAGGGAGAAGCAGGCCTCCCGCGGAGCAGGGAGCCCGATGCGGGGCTCGATCCCAGGACCCTGGAATCATGACCCGAGCCGAAGGCAGACGCTTAACGACTGAGCCACCCAGGCGCCCCAAGAGCTCATTCTTTTAACAAATTTGCCTTTCGAGCAAACTACTACCATCAGTGCAAATAGGAGGGCTTGTGAGCTTAGATAAAATTCCCAGGCAGCCAACCCGGTGGGAAGAGTCCCCCGAAGCTCACTATAACACTGCTTAGTTCAAAGTATTTAGAGGAGAATGGAATTGGTTCCAATGAATCTCAGAACAGCAGTTACTCCCCTCAGGCAGGGCCTAGGGCTGGGCCTGATTTTAAGACTGAATGGGAGAAGGTAGAGAGGATCTGAAAATTCCATTCAAGACACACCTTTGACCTTCTATAGCCACTCCCTCTCTGGCCAGTCTGCTCCAGGCCCCAGGTCTATTTGCCTGGGGTCTGAGCCCTGATCCTTCAATATAGACAAAGCCATCCTACTGGCTAGGTAATTACCTTCCTCCTTGAGGCAACTAGTAACTTCCATTTCCCCCCACCACTCTCCTTCAGAATGCAACTCTCTGACCCCATCCCTCACCATCCCAATCTCCCCTTCAAGAGCAACAGAGCTTCTTTGATCCCCACACACACAAACAAGTACTCCTCAGCTTAAGGAAGGCTTTGAGAATGTTCATGAATTGAAGCTTGTGCATATACAGTTTTCAAACATTTTCCTCAACAAGGCCAATATTTATCAATAAAATGTATCACAGAAAATATATGATTTTCATGACTGCCTCCCAAAATTGCAAGCTTGGAGAATATTGTCATACGAATTCCTGACATTTGGGGAGTTATGACACCTGACTATTGTTCAGTCAAAGCAAATAAATCCCAGAAAACTGGTTCCGAAGAGCTAAGTCAAACTTGAACATTCTCAGCCTCCAAAGGACAGCAAATAGAAAAAGACGACCAATAACCAGAAATGTGCAGATTTAATTAAGGAATAAGACAGCAGTACCTGGTATTTCATAAACCCTATATACTAAACCAATGTGCAGGGACGCCTGGGTGGCTCAGCCAGTTAAGCGTCTGCCTTGGGCTCAGGTCATAATCTCAGGGCCCTGGAATGGAGCTCTGCATCAGGCTCCCTGCTCGGTGGGGAGTCTGCTTCTCCCTCTTCTCCCTACCCCCATTCATGCTCTCTCTTGCTCTCTCAAATAAATAAAAACTTTTTAAAAAATGATGTGCGTTGTTAAAATGGTCATCCAGGGGCACCTGGTTGGCTCAGCCAATAGAGCAAGTGACTCTTGATCTCAGGGTTGTCAGTTTGAGCCCCATGTTGGACGTAGAGCTTCCTTTAAAAAGTAAATAAAATAGGGGCTCCTGGGTGGCACAGTCAGTTAAGCACCAATCCTTGGTTTCGGCTCAGGTCATAATCTCAGGGTAGTGGGATTGAGCCCCACGTCGGGCTGCATGCTCAGTGCAGAGTCTGCTTAAGTAAGATTCCCTCCCCCTTTCCTTCTTCCCTGCTCTAAAATAAATAAATAAGTCTCTCAAAAATAAATACATAAAATAAAATGGTCATCCAAATACAAGGGTGGAATACAGTCAGTACAATCCACGTAAGTTAGAAAAATTCACATTTTACCTAAGATTTATTTGACAATAGTTCTGATGCTGTAAACAAAATGAAGAAAAAGGAAAAAAAAAAACATTTCATCTGAAAAGCCCGTGTGCTCAGCCTTCATTTCCTAAAGAAATATGCCTCCCTTGCTCTAATTGCTTTCAATTAAACCTTTTTATGGTATCTTTTCAGGACAGTCTGACTTAGAATAAACCTGTTTCCAAACCAACCTGTTTTTTTCCACATAATCAGTATTTTGTGTCATACAAACTGAGGCCAGACAATGAGATTTTTACGTGATATATATTTAAAATGTGTAGTAGGAAGCATACACATGTATCTCCATAGATGTTCATATAGATATAGATGTATATATTCGAAAGCAGTGGTGACATGCCTGGAAGCCTTTGGGGGACATTCTTTAATCCACTTTTACCACGCTGTAGATTTTAGTAATAAACCAGAAACAGGAAAAAAATCCAACTGTCCCTGAAACAAAATGAAAAAGATCCTTGTTAACCAGACACTATAGCAAATCAAAGTAGCTTTCTCAAAAATGCAAAGCATGTCAGTTTTGAGGTGGACTACTGATTCTCTAAATCTCAGGACTCCCACATTATCAAACAAAAAATCACCAGGCTCTCTTGCTGAGCAAAGAGGATGAGCAGCGGGGCTGGATGCAGCCACCTGCAACAGGTGTGAGAATCCATTTGATTGAACGCTGCAGGTCTCTAACCAAAGCAAAAAAAAAAAAAAAAAATGAGTAGCTTAAATTCTCTATTTCAAAAAGGATACAAAGAGGTCCAAGGCTAGTTTCTAATATAATAAACTTCGTATAACTTGCTTCAATCTAGAAAATGTAACCATTATCACTTGATGTAACAAAAGTGGCAATAATCTATTATTTACTTGCATATTCAGGACATAGTTTTATAAATCAAAGTTTTGTCTTATTAAACTTGAGAAATATCCCATTTCTGGGGATATATCCTAAAGAAATGACCCCATAGGGGCGCTTGGGTGGCTCAGTGGGTTAAGCGGCTGCCTTCGGCTCAGGTCATGATCTCAGGGTCCTGGGATTGAGTCCCACATAGGGCTCCCTGCTCAGTGGGGAGCCTGCTTCTCCCTTTCCCTCTGCCTTCCCTTCCCCGGCTTGTGCTCTCTCTCTCTCTCAAATAAATAATAAAATCTCAAAAAAAAAAAAAAGAAATGACCCCATAGAAGAAAAAAATTACATGCAAAAAAGGTGTTCAAAATACTATGATTTATAATATTGAAAAATTACAAACCAAATGCCCCCCAATAGGTGACTTAGCTAAATGATGGACTAAGTGCTCAATGAAATAAGATAGTCATCAAAAATGACAAATTTAAAGACTATACAGCAGCATGGAACAATCTTTATAATATGGTGTTAGGCAAGCCAGATTGTAACTCACCAGTGTGAACACTGTATATACCATGCACTAGATACAGCAGAGCATGGACCAAAGAAGATACCTTTATATGTAGGGTGATACAATTCTGGGCAAATTTTTCTTTAACATAGGATTTCATCGATGTTCATGTTATAAAAACAATTCTCATATGATATTACGGTTCAGTAACTCAAAGAAAACTCTAATAGGAGTTTTCTTTTCCAGATCCTATAATCTAATGGGGTAACTCAAGACAATTCAATCATCTAGCAAAACATGTTAATCACAGAAGGCTTTAGGCAGGGTTTGGTCCCTTTTTCTTTGCCAGTTTCCAAGCTATCCAATATACCATCATGCCACCTCCCTCCCACCCTTCAAAGCTCCTTGTCAGGAGTCAGTGTGGTATAGTGATTAAGACCATGCATGGGCTCTGGGAGTGAGCCCCAGAATCTGCTCTGTTGGTTACTAGCTGTCTGATCTGGGCAAGTGATAATCTTGCCAAACCTCCATTTTCTCAGCCGAAAAATGGGGATGATAATACCTATTCCCATTTTAAGCTTCCTTTTCTGAATCCAACAACTTCAAAGGTTCAGGAGATGAAAATGTGTAGCTAACACATGTCTCTGAATTTAAGACATTCCTGATTTCAATTTGCTGCATATTATCCCCGTACACTACTGAAATGTCTATGAATTCTCAAACTTTTTGATGCTCGACTTACAATACTCAAATTGTCTCCTACCCGAAACACAAAGCTCCATCAACTCTCACACTGTTCTGATAGGCAGCTAAGTCAGCTGACTCTGGAGTCAGGCAGACACTTAGCTATAGGATATAGAGCAAGCTACCCATCTCTGTTCCTCCTTAGTGAAAAGGAATTCTATCCCCCACCCAACTAACAGGATTGACCTGAGAGAAAAAGGTAATAAGATACATTAGGGTGCCCATCAGAGGAGGTACTCAAGAAATGAGAGCTAGCATTCGTGTCCTGATCTGGGGCTTGAAAAATATAGTCACATGGGGCTTATTTGACTAGTGTGGTAGTCCTCAACATTGCCTGTACCCTGGAATCATCTAGGAAGATTTAACAGCTACTATTGCCTGGGTCACATCCCCCAGATGTAATTGATCTGGGATGCAGCCTCAGTACCAAGACTTTTAAAATCTCCCCAGGTGATTCTAATATGCAACCAGGGTTTCAGAGCCTCTGGTCTAGCCTGCCTTTCTGTCCCCCTCTCTCCCTCCCTCCCTCCCTTCCTTCCTATAAACAAACATCATTAAGTATAAAGAGAGGTGGGGAAATTTCTCTTCTAAGGGCCACTGAACCATACAATTGAAAAGCAACTTAAAGGATCTGGAAAATGGAAATATTTTTTTCTACAACCCAATTGCTTGTACTACAATTTGCGGGTAGAAAAACAGAGATGGGCCAAAAAGGGAGAGAATGGTCACTTTGGTGTCTCTGTCTACTTTTGCCTCAGGTCAGAGAAAATACTAAACCAGTACTAAAAATGTCCTAGTTTCTTTCTAAGCTTCATAACCTTTTATCATTAGGTCAGGTGATACAGGATCTTGATGAGGCAGTCCAAGCCAAGCAGAGAAGCCCGTTTTTCCCCTTGTCCTGGCCCTAATTGCAATTCTATAAGGTAAAGAATGCACAGCCTGATCCTGGGACTGCTTTCCAATACACATTTCTTCTGAGGCTTTCCCAAAGTAGTCATTATATATGCACACTTGAAAAAGAAGAAGAAACTAGCTAAATATAACATTTTGAAAGTCGACCGCATTCTACTTGATAGGATCAAACCTTCAAAGAGTCTTTCCACAGCCACTGTGGGGGCTATATTCCAATACACATTAATCTCAGAATTTGCACCAGTAAGACATGCAGGCAAAAGGTTTTCTTAAATTTGGAATGAAAGCCATTACATAAAGGAACAAAGAGAAAGCTTGTTTGGAGAAAAGAGTCTTGGGGGCCTTGACTCCCTTCGGCCATATTTGATTCAGTATTCATGAAGCACTTTCTCTGGGCCTGGCCCTTGCTGGGTGGGTAATGAGGAGGACAGGACAGGGCTCTTGTAGGGAACGATCTCAGGTGATGGCTATCCTACACATCTCCACTGACAAAGACATCACATTCTCTTCATCTCTCATCTAGAAAACTCTCTCGGCTCACCTCTACCTCCAGTCTCTCTCTCTAATCCATCCTGCACTTGGTCAGAGTGACTGTGAGATTTCCAAAGCACAAATTATAGTCATGCCTCTACTTGCAAACCTTTAATAGCTCCCCATGGCAAAAGCACTCAAACCCCTGAGTGTATCAGAAACCTTTTAAGCTGTTAAAAATAAACATCAGCAAGGATTCTGATTCAGGGCTTCGGGATGGGCCCTGGGCATCCGCTGTATTGGTTTTCAATCATTTCCACAAATGAATGCGAAGCACGCCCACATTGGTGTCGGCTCATAAGGCCCTCCAGGACGGGGCCCCAGCCTCCTCCTTTAGGACTTGTTCCTGTCACTCCGTGCCTTAAAATTTCAAACTCCAGCAGCCCCAAATTACCTACAGATCTCCCCATACCATGCCTTGCTCAACCTGTCAATTCCACCTTCAAACTGTAAGACTCAGTCTTCCCTCAAGGAAGTTCTATCACGTTCTCCAGCAGAGCTTTTTCTGACCTCCTTCACCCTCCCCATGCCGGGGCCTGGCGCCCCTGTTCACTGCTTTCACAAAACCCTGAGCTTCATTTTTAGGCTCCTTGCCACAATGCGTGGAATGATCTGTTTATTTTTTTTAAGATTTTACTTATCTAGGGCACCTGGGTGGCTCAGTTGGTTAAGCGACTGCCTTCCACTCAGGTCATGATCCTGGAGTCCCGGGATCAAGCCCCGCATTGGGCTCCCTGCTCAGCAGGGAGTCTGCTTCTCCCTCTGGCCCTCCCCCCTCTCATGCTCTCTCTCTCATTCTCTCTCTCAAATAAATAAATACAATCTTTAAAAAAAAAA